TCTAATTCGGTGCTAAATCAGTTCTAGTTCAATTCTAATTTGGTTTTACTGTAGTTCTAATTAGATTCTAATGTAGTTCTAGTTAGGTTCTAATGTAGTTCTAGTTAGGTTCTTCTGTAGTTCTAGTTCAGTTTAATTTCAGTTCTAGTTGTAGTTCATTTTTAGGTAGGATCGACCTCTAATTTTTAATGTTAAAATTTATGTTCGAAAATTTTGAACTTAAAAAACATAATTAATTGGGTTCATGTGAGGGATGTAGTTCAATAATAAAATCACAACATAGTTTTTTCAACTTTTTTATTAATCTCAATAAGGATGTAATCTTTGAGCCGTATGCATCATAGATAGCGACGTCTGAGGTCCACCTGCTGTTGGCGGCGGTGGTAGAGTAACAGCATGTGGAGGCGGTGGACCCATTATATGAGCCATAGACATACTACCACCTGGATTAGGTTGCAAAGATGCAGCCGCATTTAAACCTAAATGATGAGCCTGAGCATGTAAACCATCATGATGAGTATGAGGACCCAAAGCCACTGCCGCCTGATGATGATAATGATGTGGTGTAGCGTGAGAAGGTGGAGGAGGTGGTGGCGCCACCATTTGTGTATGACCTCCTAGGGGTAAATTTAAAAGATTATTCGAACCATGTGTGCGAAAATGCACTGATAAACTTCCAGCCGATTCAAATTCCTTATCACAGTCCGGACACTTGAAAGCATCATCATTAACCACGGTGTCGACAATTTCATCTTCTTCATCTTCACTGCGCTCAGTCAGATTTGTCATTTGATGTAGCTTTCGTTTGTGGGCCAACATATCACGATTACGGCTGAATGACTTGCCACAAACATCACAATGATGATTTTTTATACCCGTATGGGTTATCATATGTTTGGAGAGATCACCGGCGGTATAAAATGATTTCTGACATACTGGACAATGTTGATCACGTATGCCGGTGTGTATTTTTAGATGAGCCTGGAAATTTCCTAAAGCGGAGAACTGTTTAGAGCAGATTTCACATTGAAATGGCTTGTCACCGGTATGAGTGCGTTCGTGTATTTGTAAATTGTATTTTTGAGCAAAACGTCGAGGACAATAGCGACAGGGAAATGGTTTTTCCCCAGTATGCGTACGTATGTGTTGCTGTAGTTGGGCCGAACATTTAAAGGTTTTATTGCACTCGTAACAGGTTTGTGGCAGTTTGGGCAGAGGTTTGGGTCCTCGCTTTTTGTGTTCTTCAGGTGGTTTACGTTGATAACGGGAGCGTCTTTTGCTAGAATAGTAAATTATTGATTGTGCCATGGTTTAGAGGCAATAACTATTGAAATATCTTAATTTTTATTTGCTTTTATTAGAGGAATGAAATATTGCCCAAATTTTAAAAAGTTTGCCTATGAATGATCTTTAAAAAGTCTTGTAAAGAAATTTGATTGATATTTTCGCACTCTCGAAAAAAACATATATTTTTTTTTTTGTATAGAAAGGCTTTATTGTACTTACCTTTTCTTTTGTTAGTTCTCTGCTCCTCCTCTTCATCCTCTTCCGAATCTGAAGAGTTTCCCGTGGTATTATGATAATTATGAGATTTACCTAACAAACCCAAGGACAAATTATCCTCTGTATTAGTTTCTGCATCACATATACTATAAAAAAATTAGTCTTAAAATTCCATTTTCAATTGAATCTATGGTCACTTACCCATAACCTCGATCTGTTAAACCCAAATATTGTCTCAGTCTTATATCGGAATTTTCACATTCCTGTTTAAAATGATATGCTACTCCTAATCTATAGATGCAATTATTGCATATAACCTCGGGTAAACCATCCTTTTTATACACCCGTATCTTGGCACACAGCATTAACATGGTAGAGGGCATCATACTGAACTCGGTGCTATAGATGGATGTGAGGGCACCTTCTTTTAAACATACCCGACAGATTTTGTGTAGATTGTAATCCATATCCATGGGATCAATAGTGTTATTTGAAAATTATTGTCATAAACAAAAACATGAAAACATTCGTTTATTTTCTAATTTCTGATGATTTGTTTACAAGCAACAGCTGTTGTAAAGGGTTGCCACACACACAAATGTGGTTGTTTTGAGAGAATATACACGAATTGCAAGAAAGGATCGTTTTGGTCTAATATAATAATTTGTTACAAAATCTGATTAATATTATTGATTTCACCGATTACATTGTCATTATAAACAAAAAATAATGTTATTTTAAAGAGAAATGGATAATGATAAAGACGTCGTTGTTATTTATAAAGCAAAAACAACGACGTTATTTATTTCACCAGCCGCCGAACTCTAACACAACACGGTTGCAATTGCGAATTTACAAAGAGCCGGTTCACACAAAGAAACTTTTGTTGTTTAAATGTCTACACAGAAAAACTTTTGTTTCGGCAACTACGTAAAAACAAGAAACTCTCTACAGCTAGAGAGATGATTGATATATCTGATTTTAAATCGGCAACTTCTCGAAAGCATATCTGACAGAATTATTGAAAATTCCGATGACATCTGGAATTTTTAGAAAATTGATTGAAGTAATAGTTCTCGTGAGTCTAAAAATAAATCTCGTGAAAATGAGTTGTAGAACGAGAGATATCAATAAAATTGTATTCACTAATACAAAAATTATTTACTCTGGTAGACAATGCCGATTTTTAAAATATTTGCTTCCAAAATCTCATTTTTTAATCTATCGGTTTCTGTTTTTATTTAAAATCGTTGAAAATTTAAAAACTTAATTGAAAAAAGACGATTTTGAGCCGTCGCCGACATTTTCAGTATCATACGCCGTCACCGTTAATATTTGAAGGCGCAGTGCTCTGAGTTAAACAGAAGGGAAAACTGAAAAAATTTCTTACGACTTTCCTTTCAATAACAAAAATTCAGTGAAAAAAAGTGAAAAATTTTAATAAAAACGCATAAGAATAATTAAAGAAAATGTTAAATTTGTAGTGCAGCCTAAAAACCATACAAAAAGACAATAATTTTTGGTTAAAAACAAGCGAAAAAAATAAAGAACGAAGGAGAAAAAAAGCAAAGAATCATCAAATTTTATTTTTTACATATACAACACAGAAGCAGCCGTAGTAGGCAGCAGCAAGACGCAGTCAGTCTACCACCAACAACAAACTTGTGTGTGAGCGACGCAGTAGTATTGACGAATATTCGCCCACAATAACAAAAGAAGAGCCCCCCTTTTGGTTACAAGAAGGAAAAAATAAAATTGAAGAAAATATTAAAAAAAAAACGAATATTGATAACGAATATTTTCTCAAAAAAGCAAAAAAATTAACACAAAAAAGCCTTATAAAACACCAACAGAATTGTATTAAACATCCTAACCGACGAAAGCCATGAGCAGTAGCGCTGATGGATCTTCTATACGCTTTAGCGACCATACTCTGGACAAGGCCACCAAGGCCAAGGTAACATTAGAGAATTACTACAGTAATTTAGTCACCCAATATGGTGAGCGTAAACAACGTTTAGCCAAACTAGAGGCTCAACTGAAAGACGAAAGTCTAACAGAGTCGCAGCGTCAGGAAAAACGTCTGCAGCATGCCCAAAAGGAAACAGAATTTCTGCGTTTGAAACGTTTACGTTTAGGTGTCGAAGATTTCGAAGCACTTAAGGTAATTGGTCGCGGTGCCTTCGGTGAGGTGCGTTTAGTACAAAAGAAGGACACTGGCCATGTGTATGCCATGAAGGTTTTGCGTAAGGCCGATATGTTGGAAAAGGAACAGGTCGCTCATGTACGAGCGGAACGTGATGTTCTGGTCGAGGCCGATCATCAGTGGGTAGTGAAAATGTACTACAGTTTTCAGGTGGGTTTTTGAAATGAAAAATATTTGTGCTTTATTTTGTTTTATGAATTTACGAGGGGGTCATTAACCTTAAATTATTTTATTTTTATACTCAACATCTCCACTCCAAGTGGTAGGGGAGTATATTAAACATTGTTGTTTGGTTTGTTATTTTGTGAAGGAAAAATGTTGAAGTGGTTTGCTTTAGAACTAAACTAGAACTGAACTAGAACTGAATTAGAATTGAACTAGAACTAAGTTATAACTGAACTAGAACTGAAATAAAACTGAACTAGAACTGAAATAGAACTGAACCAGAACTGAACTAGAACTGAACTAGAACTAAACTAGAACTGAACTAGAACTGAACTAGAACTGAACTAGAACTGAACTAGAACTGAACTAGAACTGAACTAGAACTGAACTAGAACTGAACTAGAACTGAACTAGAACTGAACTAGAACTGAACTAGAACTGAACTAGAACTGAACTAGAACTGAACTAGAACTGAACTAGAACTGAACTAGAACTGAACTAGAACTGAACTAGAACTGAACTAGAACTGAACTAGAACTGAACTAGAACTGAACTAGAACTGAACTAGAACTGAACTAGAACTGAACTAGAACTGAACTAGAACTAAATTAGAACTGAACTAGAACTGAACTAAAACTGAATTAGAACTGAACTAGAACTGAAATAACACTGAAATAGAACTGAACTAGAACTGAAATAGAACTGAACTAGAACTGAACTAGAACTGAACTAGAACTGAACTAGAACTGAACTAGAACTGAACTAGAAGTGAACTAGAACTGAACTAGAACTGAACTAGAACTGAACTAGAACTGAACTAGAACTGAACTAGAACTGAACTAGAACTGAACTAGAACTGAACTAGAACTGAACTAGAACTGAACTAGAACTGAATTAGAACTGAACTAGAACTTAACTAGAACTGAACTAGAACTGAACTAGAACTGAACTAGAACTGAACTAGAACTGAACTAGAACTGAACTAGAACTGAACTAGAACTGAACTAGAACTGAACTAGAACTGAACTAGAACTGAACTAGAACTGAACTAGAACTGAACTAGAACTGAACTAGAACTGAACTAGAACTAAATTAGAACTGAACTAGAACTGAACTAAAACTGAATTAGAACTGAACTAGAACTGAAATAACACTGAAATAGAACTGAACTAGAACTGAAATAGAACTGAATTAGAACTGAACTAGAACTGAAATAAAACTGAACTAGAACTGAAATAGACTGAACCAGAACTGAACTAGAACTGAACTAGAACTGAACTAGAACTGAACTAGAACTGAACTAGAACTGAACTAGAACTGAACTAGAACTGAACTAGAACTGAACTAGAACTGAACTAGAAACTGAACTAGAACTGAACTAGAACTGTACTAGAACTGAACTAGAACTGAACTAGAACTGAACTAGAACTGAACTAGAACTGAACTAGAACTGAACTAGAACTGAACTAGAACTGAACTAGAACTGAACTAGAACTGAACTAGAACTGAACTAGAACTGAACTAGAACTGAACTAGAACTGAACTAGAACTGAACTAGAACTGAACTAGAACTGAACTAGAACTGAACTAGAACTGAACTAGAACTGAACTAGAACTGAACTAGAACTGAACTAGAACTGAACTAGAACTGAACTAGAACTGAACTAGAACTAGAACTGACTAGAACTGAACTAGAACTGAACTAGAACTGAACTAGAACTGAATTAGAACTGAACTAGAACTTAACTAGAACTGAACTAGAACTGAACTAGAACTGAACTAGAACTGAACTAGAACTGAACTAGAACTGAACTAAACTGAACTAAAACTGAACTAGAACTGAACTAAAACTGAACTAGAACTGAACTAGAACTAACTAGAACTTAACTAGAACTTAACTAGAACTGAACTAGAACTGAACTGGAACTGAACTTGAACTGAACTAGAACTGAACTAGAACCGAACTAGAACTGAACCAGAACTGAACTAGAACTGAACTAGAACTGAACTGGAACTGAACTAGAACTGAACTAGAACTGAACTAGAACTGAACTTGTACTGAAGTAGTACTGAAGTAGAACTGAACTTGAAATGGAGCTAGAACTGAAATAGAACTGAAATAAAACTGAACTAAAACTGAATTAGAACTGAACTAGAACTGAACTAGAACTGAACTAGAACTGAAGTAGAACTGAACTAGAACTGAACTAGAACTGAACTAGAACTGAACTAGAACTGAACTAGAACTGAACTAGAACTGAACTAGAACTGAACAAGAACTGAACTAGAACTGAACTAGAACTGAACTAGAACTGAACTAGAACTAGAACTAGAACTGAACTAGAACTGAACTAGAACTGAACTAGAACTGAACTAGAACTGAACTAGAACTGAACTGGAACTGAACTGGAACTGAACTAGAAATGAACTGGAAATGAACTGGAAATGAACTGAACTAGTATTGCACCAAAGTGAACTAGAACTGAAATAGGGTTAAAATAGAATTGCACTAAAACTGAACTAGAACTGATCTAGAACTGAACCAGAACTGAACTAGAACTGAACTAGAATTGAACTAGAACTGAACTAGAACTGAACTAGAACTGAACTAGAACTGAACTAGAACTGAACTAGAACTGAACTAGAACTGAACTAGAACTGAAATAAAACTGAAATAGAACTGAAATAGAACTGAACTAGAACTGAACTAGAACTAGAACTGAACTAGAACTGAACTAGAACTGAACTAGAACTGAACTAGAACTGAACTAGAACTGAACCAGAACTGAACTAGAACTGAACTAGAACTTAACTAGAACTTAACTAGAACTGAACTAGAACTGAACTAGAACTGAACTAGAACTGAACTAGAACTTAACTAGAACTGAACTAGAACTGAACTAGATCTGAACTAGTACTGAACTAGAACTGGACTGGAACTGAACTGGAACTGAACTGGAACTAGAACTGAACTAGAATTGAAATAGAACTGAAATAGAACTGAAATAAAACTGAACTAGAACTGAACTAGAACTGAACTGGAACTGAACTAGAACTGAACTAGAACTGAACTAGAACTGAACTACAACTGAACTAAAACTGAACTAGAACTGATCTAGAACTGAACCAGAACTGAACTAGAACTGAACTAGAACTGAACTAGAACTGAACTAGAACTGAACTAGAACTGAACTAGAACTGAACTAGAACTGAACTAGAACTGAACTAGAACTGAACTAGAACTGAACTAGAACTGAACTAGAACTAAACTAGAACTGAA